CTTTTTTAATTCAGATATTTAATTGATTTAAAAGATGTTGAATTACAAAATTAGATTAAACAATTTTTTTAAAGGTATCCTTTCACCAGAATAGATACTACTGTATTAAGTTAGGCAATATTGATATAATTTAGATATGGATTGCTATATTTTAGATATGGATTGTTATATTTTTAGATATTACAGTAAATGCATGCCTAAATAAAATTCTAGTTGAATATGCATTTTCATCAATACATTTTACTTGGTCTTTTGTTTTTTAATGTAAAAGGAAACATAATCTGACTTTACTTCGCTGATATTGGTATGCAGAAGAAGTAATGCTATTTCGGCATCTAAAATTCAGAACTAAATTTGAAAAGAAGTGTACGAAAAACAATTTAACTGTTTTATATTGAGTACCAAGAATTTGATGTTGATAAAGAAGCCAATGAAGTTCAATCAATACCTCATTGAATATTGAGTTGCTAATAAAAAACAGATGGATTGATCATGTAACAGTACGTTAGCTATCAGAAGAACTCGAGAACTGAACAGTAATAGAACATTTTTATATGCAGCCATGCCTATTCAAGCGTATCCTATGTCCTCGTCCAAGCCTACCCTCCTCTATCCTACAGTAACCTTGAGTCTTACAAACCTAATGATTCCGCTGGCTTTGATGCCAATAACATCCAATCAATATCTCATTGAATACGAACTGATATTGGTAGAGAAAATGTCGATGGACCTTGTAAGAATGCGTTATCTGTCTGAAAAATAAAAAATAAACAATAATAAAATACGTTTACATTTAATAGAGTTTACTTAGTATTTTATCTATAATAGTTTAAGCCTACACTGAAAACAAAAAAGGTACCGTACCGAACTTAAAAGGGTTCCGAATTTTGAAACGAATTCTAAACCTTTTTAAGTATCGTACGAAACTGGTTTAGTATGAAACTTATTCTAATAGACAAACTTAAAATTAGGTTTCGCAGATTAAGTTCCGCAATACCAATTTAATAATAGAGCTGTCATCAAGCCGGCGTAGTAAGTCACCGGAAAATATGAAATTCAAATCTGTTTTGCCTTTTACATTATACTGAAGTAGAATAGGAGTTTGGTTGAGAGCAGCACTATTGGCCCCAGTTATCCGTTTCTTGCATCAGAAATCTTTATGTCGATCATCAAACTCCAAAAACTCATATTATCAAATATATTCCTGATACAGAAAAGGAATAAACGGGGCCCATAATGTTGTTCTCAATTAGTTTACCACTCTACTTCAAGATAATATAAACAAATCAACTCATCTTAAATTTCATATTTCCGATGGTCAGACAGACCGTTATAATGGCAGTTCTGCTTTACAGAACTCGATACGCAAAGTTAAAACGTCAGAGTTGCATGAGTATCATCGCAAACTCTTCCTATTATTTCAAATTCCCCCAAATTAAGGCCGACTCTTCCAGAATTACCGTTCGGAACGGGTTCAAATGCTCTTTCTAGTTGCCTAATCTTAGCTTCAGAGATTAAGACTCTATGGAAGGCACGATGAGACGTTCAAAATGTAACAGAAGGATACCAAACGAACAGTCTTACTTCATTGGCTTTACATAAGACACAAATAGAAAATATTTCAATGAATTAGCCAGATTTGCCAACTATTAAAAACACTAGACCATAACCAGACTATCGACTTGAATAATTCGAACCGAGCCAAAGTTTAAATATGACATTCATATCGATATCAATACTTCGGTTTAATAAGCATACAATAGAAAGAAAGTGATCGTAGTTTTCGCGTTGAATTTTATTTCCCAAATTGTTTAGTTGGACAATCTGAATGAAAGAAACATATGTGGAGGCTAGCGCGAAGTAAATATTTCCAATTAATAATCTACAACAATGAAAATGCACCTATACTGTTCAATGTAGAATGACTTGAAATACCACTCGGTTGCATAGTGATTTGTGCAAAGAAAATAATTTCCGAAGTTAAATTTAGCTTGAAGTGAAAGTTTATATATAGCACGCTACAGCAAAGAAAAGAAATTTTTTATGTAAAACGCTGAGTTACCTGAAATATTCTTCAGTTCTTCAAGTTGAACGAAACAAAGCGTTTCAGATTTACATTTAGATTGACAAGATTAGTTCTATCTAATAATTTACAATAGAGGAAAGAAGGATATACAGTAATCCCAAATATAGATTTATTTGAAATATTGTTAAGGTAAACGACTTGAACGAAAGAAGCTTTTTGAAAGTTGAATGAAATCTGAAGCGAGTGTTGTGATCTAATAATATAAAACAAATATATAGTTATAGTGTTAAATGTAGAATTACCTGAAATAATGTTGAATGGAATCACTTGAAAGAAATTTAACACTTTCAATATAAAATATAACTTCAAATATAAATTCTAGTAATCTATGGCAGAAGAAGAAATAAATATAATCGTTGCAAATAAAATTGTCTTATTTGTTCACCTCAAAGATTTGAAGAGCAATGTGATTATTGAATGTAACTTCTGAGATAAATGTTTGAATTGGGTACTCTAAAACAGAAAAACAAAAATTGTCATTCAAAAGATGGAATTGCCTGGCAAATAGTTCCGTTGAACAACGTGTAAAAACCCAATGGCATTGGCTCTAAATATACATTCATATAAACATTGAATTCGAAGAGTCTATAATGGATAGCTGAGATTGATAGTTTTAACGATAAGCGTACATCATGGAGGATTGTGATGGCGAACTTGAAAGAAAAGTACTTCAATTTTTCAGTTGGAGGAACCTATTAGAGGTATATTACGAAACGTGCAAGGGTTTCATACGAAACTTGACTCAACTTTGACTTTCACAAAAGTATGATACGAAACTTCTGTCACTTCAGAACCTTATAAAACGATCGCACCGAACTTTTTCTAGTACTAAACTTACAAAAGGTTTCGTAGATCCATACCATAACCCTAAGGGTTTAATAAGGTACCACCAAACCTTAAAGGTTCCTTACAGCACCTTTATTTCTTTCAGTGCAGTTGAATTTATCTGCGTAACATTGTCTTTAACGGATTTACAACACTTAAGCATGAAATAGTTATGTTCGGCAAGATTTTTCTTAGTTGTTACCTTAAAAGATCTTTTTTATCTTAATGAGTGAAACTTTGAAATACCCTAATTATCTTTTAATTAGCCAGAAAGAACGCTGAAGATCGTGTATCGAGAGTGGTAGTTGGTGAAGAAATAAGTGGGAATAATCTTAATGAAAATCTGCATGAAAATATATAAGTTTTTTATCTTAAGTTGAGTTGCTTATATAGAGATCTTCCTGCTGAACAAATCGGTGATTGAGTAGCGTTCACATGGAACGGAGCCATTTTTTGGGACAAATTCTAATTATAAGTCTTTTTCATAATCGAACCGCCACATTGTAAAAAAAATCGTAGAATACTAAACCCTAGTACTACAAAAAAAGTTTCATAAACCCTTTAAGGGTTTATGTTTTTGTCAGAAACTCTAAAACCGTTTATTGCCTGAAGCGTTTATGAAACTAAGGGTATTTGAAAATAAAAAGGGTTTAATGAACCAGAATATAAGCGGAAGGGTTTGTGAATCTACGATGAAGGATTTATTATTCTGCGGCGAAAGGGTTTATTATTATACACTTGTGTGAAAGGGTTTATTATTCTACGGTGAAGGGTTTATTATTGCGCCCTTTCATAAAATAGTTTCTTCCGCTAAAGAAAAGTTGAAATCAGACAAGTCATACATATATATATATTTATCAAAATGACGTTGACTTTTCTGGTTGATGACACTATTCATCAAGTATTTTTGTGATTAGATCGGAAATCGTACAATAGAAACAAAGGTTAATGAAAAACAGAATAACTTTAGCTCTCTCTATGTTGAAATAGTTTGTAATCTCACATTAAAAGATTATTATTTTCCATTAATTAGATCAGCCTGAAAAACAAAATGAAACTTTGTTCTATGTAGGTGAGGCTTCTATAAAAAAAACGTAAGTATTTATTCATAAATCTTGAAGAATTTCATCAGTAAGTTAAAAAATTCTATGAAATTATTATTTTTTTGAATCAACCGCTTTCGATTTAGCTTTTTCCAAGCGATGCGATCAAATTCAAGCATTATTTTCTATATATGCTTATTGTTTTTTTTTCAGTCTTTTAGTTGGATAGAAAAGAAAATTGAAAATCGTAGATAAATATAATTCTTTTTATTAAAATTATTGTTCTTAATCTTTTAGTTCAATTTCACATTGACAATTCTACGTGAGAAAAGGTTTTGTATTTTAATTATTGTTTTATCCTTTTAGTTCTATTTGGAATTGAAAATCGCAAGTAGGTATAATGTTTTTCTTAGAATTATTACTTATAATGTCCTAGTTCAATATACGTAGAAGTGAAAATTCTAGTTAAGCAAAATTTCTGTATTTGAATTATTCTTTTTTTCTTCTTTTAGTCAATTTTTAATTGAAAATCAATCGTAAATATAATTTTTCCTTAAATATTTCTTATTTTGATTTTTTTTTACTGAAAAAGCAGATTCAAAATCATAGGTAATTATTATTTTAAAACAATAATGTTTTTAATTTTTCTCAAATAGATTGGTTTCAATGACTCATTAAACTGAACATGATTCGTGGCTAAAAGTACGTTTCCTGAAACCTATTAGAACGGTATTTGAAAGGGTTTATTGATTTCCGAAACCCTTTGTTAGCGGTTCTAAGGGTTTATTAAAGTGCAACGTATCACAAACCCTTAAAGGGTTTATTATTCTACGGGGTGTTGTTACAGTGTATGGTACCACTCAGTTTTGAATCGATAATAGGCAATTTACTCTTCCATCATTTAAGAACTTCAACTAGTTAACTCATTGCTTCTTCAGTAGCTATACGAGCTATGCCCAAGCCATTGTATCAAAATTAAAGCACAATAGTGGTAGTTATTGTTTTCTTTAGTTACTCCTTAATTATAAGAAGATTAGTTTGGGCATAACAGTTATCTTTGGTTTAATCAAAACTTAATTCTATTGTCTTTCTTCATTTAAACAAAAAATATTTATACGCACATAAAAAACAATCAAACTGATAAATTCTTTGCTCCTTTTTCTTCGCTCTTGACAGAGAGAGAGAGAGATCAACAGATTCAAGATAAAAAAAGATAAGCATACACTGAAGAAGACGAAGTTGTTGACACAACAACACTCAATTGCTTGCAAACATGAATAGCAAACGAAAGTTGGAAAAAAATAGCCATAAAACTCCCGAAATACATAACTTCCGTTCTTTGTTTCTAGTTAATAAACATATCTTCAATAGAAATAACGTATACATCTGTTGTTGAGTATCAACAGAGAAAAGATAAAATACCCACATTTAACGTCGTAAAACATATCCATAAAAATGTAAGCTATAGGCTATATAAATCTAAACGAGGCTGGTGTCTCAACAGCACATTACTATTCATCATTTTATTAAGCAACAGCTTGTACTCGACATGAGTGGACAAAAATCCAATTCAACTGTTCTAAAATCAACAGCTAATGCTGCTTCAAGTATAGCAACACTATCGGGTGCTATACCACCAAGACGCCGTATGACTCAGAATTACTTGGTGATTTGGGTCGATGGCAACACTGGCACAATTGCGTGCAGTGATAAGTGATGTAAATGTGTGCACGACACTAGAGCAGTGTGTCGAATTTCTCAATGAAATTGATGATGGCAAAGCCTTCATAATTTCATCGGGAGCATTAGGGCAAAGCCTTGTGAATGACATTCACAGCATACCAAAAGTGGATGCCATTTACATTTTTTGCGGCAACAAAACGCGCCATGAACTATGGGCGAAGGAATGGCCAAAAATTCGAGGTGTTTTCACCTCGATCAAGCCGATATGTGAATCGCTGAAAAAGGTCGCCCATGAGTGCGATCATGATTCAATTTCCATGAGCTTCGTTCCGAAGCAAACGATGGCAGAAGGAGCAACAGGCTCTGACCTAAGAAAACTTGATCAATTATCGCCAACTTATATGTACTCGGTAATTTTCAAGGATATTTTATTAGAAATCGATGACGATGACGAAAAATCTATGAGCACTTTAGCAATCTATTGCCAAAAGCAAAATATTCCGAAAAAAGAAATAAATGAATTTAAGGATAACTACCACCAGGAATCAGCAGTCTGGTGGTATACCAAACAGATTTTTCTCTATGGTATGCTTAATCGTGGGTTAAGATCGCTTGATATGGAAGCGATGACCAAATTAGGATTTTTCATTCGAAAATTGCATCTTCAATTAGAACAATTACATCAGGAGCAGTCGACAAGTTTCAAGAAATCTTTTATCGTTTATCGTGGTCAGGGGCTCAGCCAACAAGACTTTCAAAA